AAAGAAGAAAGAAAGAAAGAAAGAAGAAAGAAAGAAAGAAAGAAAGAAAGAAAGAAAGAAAGAAAGAAAGAAAGAAAGAAAGAAAGAAAGAAAGATCCTCCCAAAATGCCCAACAGTTTGGGGAACAGTTTTGATGATATGAGCTGGACTCTGCTTTTCTTGGGCAGGTTTCCAAAACCATCTACAGTGATCTGGCTGATGACTATCCAGGGACTAAATCATTCTGGATGGCATCAAACAGGAAAATTCAACTTCTCTCTCTTCTGCTTTTGTAGGGTGACCAGGAAATGCTGCCATGATGGATGGAGGCAGAGTCTTACACAAAAGAAAGCTTTCATTAAGTCTCATAACCAAACAGATGTAGCTTTCTGTGCAGGGTCTTAGAGCAATGGACATAGGTACAGGAAAGTGAAGAACTGACCCACCAAGGCAGTGGAGAAGAAAGGACTGCTTGGACTTTTCTTCTCTCCTGTCAGCAAACTTATAGATACGGAGTGGGTGGTTCACAGAAAGAAGTTTTGCTGTCTAACAATGTTTCTCTCCTTTTCATAAAATACTAAAGATTCTCAAAGTCATAGCTTGGCCAGTAAAAACAGAGGAAGAAGACAACTAACAAATATATAAACCTAGAATACCTTTATAGGGGAGTTAGCATGAATGATGGAAGCAGGGTAAAGCCTGATTTCTAAAATATTGAAAACAATAGATGGAAAAGTCAGGTAATTTACAAATCTGACTAGATTCTCTGAATAGTTGCCCCAAAATTAACTTAGATACTTAGTGAATTGACTTGTGAATTTTATCTTTCAATCATTTTAATGGCTTGCATTAAAATCCCTGACAAAAGGAATTCACTTATGCATACAAATACATCATATACAGACCCAATCACTGAATTATTAAAAATTAACAAATTTTATGTTTTAATCAGTGCTTTGAAACAAAGAATGACAGTGTAAACTAAATATTTGACTTATGTAAACATAATAGGCCATAATTAATTTGGCACCTAATGACAATGTAGACTTAGATTTTATAGTTTATTAGCTAAATTTCCAGAAAGCTTTCAAATATACCTAAAATATAAGCATGTAGTACAAATTCAAAGCAGAAATTAGGTTTTTACTTTCTAATGCAATTTAATTCTATAATAATGGTATTTTTCTCACTTAAAATCCCTCCCTTTGGCATACATAGGTCTTTCTAGAAGCCTTGTAAGTTTAATTAATGGAGAAAGCGTGATAAGATCTGTATTAGCATTGATTGTATTTACTACTACTATGGATATTAATGACAGAAGACAGCATACAGCAAACCATAACTTAGGTAAGGACCATTTTTTTAAATTTTTTAAAACCAGAAGTCTATATTTTCTGAAAACTGACATAGACTTTGTAATATCTTACCATAAATTATGTTTATAGGAACAAAACAGTGAGTACTCATGAAGTTATTTACTCTTTATATAGTACTATCATACATTTTCAGGGGGATAAGGTACCGGGAATTGAACTCAGGATCTTGTGCCCTCCACTAAGAAGAGGCGAGTCTAACTGTAATTGTTTCACTTGACATTGGACAGTGCTGAATTGTTGATTGTCCAGTGACACTATTGTGCTCTATTCTATCTCATGTTACAGGTTTATGTCTAAACGCTAAATTGAAGACTGTTCCTTCCCAAGATCAATTCTGAGAACCACTCCCTAATTTTTTCCTAAGAGGAATGGGTCTAGGTAGTGGACAGTTACCTTGGTTGGAAATAAGGCATCCTTTCCTTTGAGACTTTGCCGCAGCCTTTGAGACTTGTGAGCCACACACTGGGAAAGCTAAATCCATTGTTAGTGTACCGGGGCCTTGAAGCTCAAAATACTTGTGGCACATCAACTCTAAGGGCTTTAACTTTGCCATCCATAGTACATGAGAAAACCAAAGATTCATCCATACAACATTTTGCAAAGGACAGGGTACAAGAGAGGTAGATTTGACCCACAATGCACTCAGAGCTTTCACTATAAAAGTTCCTGTAGATATGAGCTCACTGAAGATGACAAGTGAAAAAGAAGAAATTTTCTATATTCAAAAGCATCTTAAAAACTCAAGATGCACTGAGTTTGGTGTCACACACCTACAATCCAGAAATTTAGGAGGCTGAGGAAGGAGGATTGCCATGAGTTTGAGGCCAGCAAGTTTGAGAACAAGACCAACCTGAATTATATAGAGAGATCTGGTCAAAAAGCAAGCACTCAAGATGCTTAGAGAAACTGAAAATTACCAAGAAATATCATCACCAATGCCAGGCTGAAGAATGTGTCCAGCAATTAAACCTGGAAGAGTATTTTACCAGGCTCAATTTAAAATATATTAACCATAGAACTTCAGGGAAACTTACATTAGAAACCATAGCTGCCTTCTAATCAAGAGAAGAGTTTTGGTATTTGCTGTAAGGAGATAAAGAGACTGTAGAAAGGAAGGTATTGATGTGAAAGTTCATTTAACCATTCATTGATTCAACAATTATTTAATAATGCATAGTATGCAATAATTCCTATTATAAGTCCCAGGAATCCAGCCAAGAACACAGTTACTAAATACTCCCTCCATTTCTAGTTTGCAATGTAGTTTCAGAGAAATAGAAACTATAAGCAATCATTATTAGCAATAATTGCAATAACTTTAGAAATCAAAAATCTACTGGAAGAAGAGTTAATTGATTTTCTTTGCCATTACATCTTTGAGCTTTTAATAACTGTTAATGTTTGAAGTTATTATATGTTTCAGAATAAGGAAATTAATACTGAGTTACTGTACTCAGAATTCTTACATTATGAAAATCTTACCTAATCTTTTGAAGCAGTAATTTCACTTTTAGGATATAGAAAATAATCAAGTAAACATAAAAATTGTTTAAAAAAATATATCCTGGAAAGTTTTTTTTGTCTGGGAGGGAAAGTAAAGCAACTGAGACATTTAGCAATAAACAAATAATTGCTCAGTTTAACAGGACAACATAGCACAGGACATTCAATTAGTGACCCACAGATATTGCTATTTCTATTCTCATTGAGTGTTATATTACATCCAGATTATTAGTTTTATGAGTTTGGGACTTCTACTAGAGCATCAAAGACTTCCTGCATATTTAGTAATGCAATAGGCACTATATAAATATGTATATAATCCTTAATAGAGAAAGAAGTTCTTCAAGTATACTGCACAATTCTCCAAAAGTAACTGCAGTTTTAGCATATAAAAAGAAACAGAGACCCTGTCCTTGCCCAGGTCCGGTGAGTGTGTGGGAGAGCTTCCTGCTACCCTGCGCCGCCGGTCCCCGCCCAGGTGTAGCATAGGTAAGACACTCTTTCACCCCCTTGAGATGACCTCTACCACTCCGCAGCACACCCCCACCCCACCTGCTGGGTAGGAATTTCAGCTGCGTTCTGGGAACCCCCAGACCCAGTACTAGCCCAGACTCAGTGAGTGTGTGGGAGAGCTGCCTCTCCCTCTACTCCACCTTGTCCCCTCCAGGCTCAGCTCAGGCCTGGCATGCAGGCCTGGGGTGTAACACTGCAGCTGCAATCCTTGCAGAGAGTGTAGAGGATAGAACCACCCAGCTAGTTCAGGAGCAGAAACTCTTGCCAGAGGGGCACAACAGGTTCACCCTCAAGGGCAGCAGCATGAAGGAGCTGAGCACAGCAGCCAGACCCAAGCCAGGCACAGCTGGATAAA